AGTGACTCCAACAACAGGGAGTGGCCATCTGGCTTGACTGCTGCTGAGATGTCCAGTAAGACAAGAACACAAAAGGGTCCCTTGAGTGTGGTATCAAGGAGGACATGACAAAGTGAATTAAAGAGAGAAGGGGCTTCTCAGGGCTGGAGGGATGTGACAGGGGTGCATCCAAGGAGACAAATTTATGGATTATAGTTTCCTTATATTTATTTGTTTGTGTGAGATGCACCATAACAATATTACTAATTTTTTAAGGGGTGCAGTCTCAGATGGGAGCCGCAGAGCATGTTTGTGCGTTCGGAGGGCCAGTGAGGGGTTGACAGTGAAGGGAGGAAGGAGGGGCCAGAAGGTCCCAGGCCTTGAGGACCTCTGACGTGCTGGCCTCCCTGGTGTTCAGGCCCCGAGCCGTCTCCACACCAAGGCTTCTCACTCTTGAGCACGTATCAGAAGCAGCTGCAGGGCTTGTTTAAACACAGATGGCTGCTAACACCCCAGAGCTTCTGACCCAGCAGGTCTGTGGTGGGACCTGGAAATGAGCATTTCTAACAAGACCCCAGGTGATGCTGGTTCAGGGGCCACATTTGAGACCTGCAGCTCTAATCGATACCAGCACCGCCACACGACCCCTCCAGGATTCGGCAAAGGAACACACTCCTTCCCCAACAGTCCAGGGACAGGAACGGATGGGAGCAGACAGTGGACATGGAAAAGGGGAGAAGAGATAGAGGAAGTAGCCAGAGCCTGGTCCCCTGCCAAGGTCAGCCCAGTCCCTGGGGGCTGCCCTGTTGGACATGCAGGAGACTGAGTGAGAGGGCCAGGGAAGGAGGCAGAGCCAGGGGCGGGGACGGTGGCGAGAGGCCAGCGTGTGAGCAGAATGGAGAGGGAGAGGTGGAAGGGAGCCGGCTCTCTGCCCGCAGGCACCGAGGCCTGAGAACACACCGTCCACCTTGACAACCTGATCCTGGTTTCGTGCCAGCGCTGCTTCTCCTGCTCAGGAAAGACGGCAGCCATGCCACAGACATGAACATCAGCACGTGGGATCCCAGAACTTCACAGCCGGAGACCCTTGGAGACCGGCCAGTCCGGCATCATCTGGCAGCCGGAGGTGCCCGAAGATAGACAGCACAGCTTGGCGGGTGGACCCGCAAACCTTGTACACGGGAAGGATGTGTGCCCGCTCCCTTCAGGCTGGCTCAGCCCCGGGAAGCCAGGCACAGGGCACGAGACCAGGGGCTCTGCTCTGACCTTGCTGCCCCGCCTTTTCCTTCAGTTCGTTGCACACGTATTTATCGAGCACCCACTGTGTGCCAAGCATTGGGCTGGACACAGAGATAAAGATATAAAGTGGTGACGAGGCCAGCTGCCTGGCTTCATGGAACTGACATTCTAGAGGGTGAGACAGATGGTGGGCAAGGACACATGGAGTGTAAAATCAGGGAGTGACAAGTGGGGTGAAGAAACCTGAAATGACACGAGGGAGAGAGCCCTGCAGAGCAGGATGGGGGTTGGGGAAGGTCCCAGAGGGAAGAGCGTGTGCACAGCCCTGGGGTGGGCACATGCTTGCTGTGCTGGAGGGATGTCCTAGAGGCCTTGCGTCTGCAGCACAGGGAGGGAAGGAGGGGAGGGAGGAACAGGAGAGGAAACGCACGTGGCAGTGGGAGGAGCAGTCGTAGAGGAACCTGCAGGCGTGGTGAGGGCTGTGGCTTCTCCTCTGAGTGAGACAGGATCCTGGGAGGGTTTGAGAAGAGGAGGGATGTGTCCTGACTTAGGTTTAACACAATCTCTCTGGCTGCCCAGTGGAGGATGGACTGTGCATGGGACAAGGGTGGAGGCAGGAAGGCCAGGGCCCGGCCTGATGTGCTCTGAGTCAGGTAGGTCTCTCTTCACTGCTCTGTGCCCTTCCATGGAGACATGAGAGAGGGACAGGAGGATTCCCCCAGCCCCTACCCCTTGACACCAGCCCACGGTCTCCCTGCAGCTGGAGAGATACATCAAGATGAACTTGACGTCAGAGCTGGTACGGGCCCAGCAGCACATGGTCCAGAACCAGATGGCCGTCATGCTAGACTTCAGCACCAGACTCTTGAACCATGCCATGGCTCAGACCCGCAAGCTGACCAACATGGAGGCTCAGGTAACAGAGGGTGAGCGAGTGGCACAGAGAGGCCTGTGGCCAGCCAGGTGTCTCACAGCCCAGGTCATCTTGCCTTGACGTCTGTCCCTGGGTGGGATCAAGACCTCCTGTAGGCCTATAGCCCCCTGGTCCCCTCCTCCCTGAAGAGCCTGTCACAAAATTATCTTTCTTCAGCCCATGAGCTAGTGGGTAGGATGGTGGGGGATGCAGACATTGGGCTTGGCTTTTCTGTCTCTGTGACTCCAGTGCCCAGGTCTGTGATGGCCCTGGGGTGAGGGGTGAAGCAGCACACTCCCCTGCCCTCAGGGGTCTGACAGTGCACCAGAGGAGGAGGGTCCTGAATAATTTATTAGACCTCAGGGGGCTGAGGACTCTAAGAGGGGGGTGTGTTTGTTGAACCCCTGCTGGGGGCCAGACACTGTTGGAGATGCTTTGTTCTAGTTGATAGGACTAAAGAAAATAGGTAAACAGACATAAGGGTGAGCTCACTTAGAAAATGAAAGGGACAGATGGCATGCTTATTTAGATGGTGACAATGCTAAGGAGGACACAGCATGGGTGGAGTGTGCTGGAAGGGTGGGAGGTATGAGAGCTGTGGGCTCACACAGCAGGACCAGGAAGGACACTGAGAGTAGGCCTGCAGCCAGGCTTACTGGAAGAGCCTTCCAGACAGGGAGACAGCACGTGCAACAGCCCGGAGGTGGCACTGGGCTAGCACGTTCCAGGAACATCAATGAGGCCAGTGTGCTGCAGTGACCAGGGGGAGAGTGGCAGGCAGAGACCAAGGAGGAAATGAGGACAGATCTCATCTTATGGCCTTGCGGACCACGGTGAGGACCGGGCTTTTCCACTGCTGGGGATGAAGCCACAGGAAGATTTTGAGCAGAGAGGAAACATTTATGAAGCTGCCTCAGGCTGTTGAGTAGAGAATGGAATGTAGGGGACAGGGAGCCTTATGAGGAGGTCAGTGCAAGACACCAAAGATGATAGAGGCCAGCACCAGAGTCTAGGCTGCAGAGGGAGAGGGGAGTGGCCAGGTACACATGGAAGGTGGAGCTGACAGCGCTGGCTGATGCAGTGGATTGGGGGTCAGGCCTCAGCAGCAGGAGGACAGGAACTCCCATGGGCAGTGATGGGGGGGGACAAGTTAGAAGCAGATCATGAGCTCGGTCAGCACCTGCAGGTAAGGAAGGGAGGGCAGGAGGAGTGGCCCCAGGAACTAATGACTACGAGCCTGGGAATGGGTCAGCAAGCTTCGGGAGTGGCAGGGCCTGCGGGCAGGTGGGCAGCGGCTGGGCGGGGCTCCTGCGGGGCTCACATGGCCCACATCCCCTTCTGCTTGCCGGGGCAGGTCCTGAACTTGATGTCACGAATGAAGAACCAGCTGCTGGAGAACTCAAGATCCACCAGCCAGCTGGAGAGGCAGCTGCTCCTGCAAGGCCATGACCTCCACCAGCTGCAGGGCCGCAACAGGTGGGTGCTGGCGCATGGCACCAGCCAGGACAGCGGCTGGAGATGGAGAAAAGGTTACGACACAGGATAGCACCAGAGCCAGGGCTGGAACTGGGACTGAAGCTAAGAGTAGAAGATGGACTTGAGCTGGTGTCTGGGGTAGGGACTGGGGCCAGAGCTAGGAGCATGGATTAAGGCTGGGACTAGAGACAGTTTTTGGAGCTAGGGCTAGAGCTGGAGCTGGGACCAGTCCAGGGCTGTGTAAGGATTAAAACCATGGTTGGAGTCCACACTGAAGCTGTCATTGAGGGTGGGTGCTGGGGCTGGGCTTTGGCTGCACCTGGGGACCAGGCAAGTACAGGGCCTGGCTGCACAACACTGGGTGGGGACAGAGGACTGGCATCTTGACTATTTCTTTCTCCTTCCTTCCTTTCTTCCTTTATCGTGTAAATTTTAATAGCTGTATTAACATATAATTTACATCCCATGCAATTCACTCTGTAAATTTTAATTGGCTTTACTTAGTTGCAAACAAATAAATAGTATTTCATCCTGTTTCCCTTTCCCAGAAGCAACCACAGTTCCCAGTTTCTTGTCTGAGCTTTCAGATAATTTCAGAGAGTTTGTAATTGTATGAAAATATGCATCAGAGGAATACTCTTTAAATTACAAAGGAAAAATAGTCAGAGGGTATAGATAAGGCAGAGAAATCTGACATCTGAGGCTGATTCTATCATGGATTCTAGCAGAGCACAGAAAACGCTGACAAGGTCAGGTTCTGGAGGAGGCAGAACCACACACTCAACGAGCCACGGGCCTGCGGACGGGCGAATGTTACTGTTACTCACGTGCTGGGGCAGGATGAGGCCCTAAGGACTGCCCGGTTGCCTTTGATTGGACACAGTAATGACCTCTTGTCCTCCTTCTTACTCCCCACCCCAAGGTCTG